CTGCCCAACGGCTACGCCGAGGCCAAGTGGGGGTGCGAGCGCATGCTCGACGCGACGCTGCACCGGCACGCGGACCGCTTCCGGCCCATGGTCGTGCGGCTCGGGCAGATCGCCGGGTCCAAGACCAGCGGCTACTGGAACCCGATGGAGCACTTCGGCTTCATGATCAAGTCGTCGCAGACGCTGCGGGCCCTGCCGGCCGTCGGCGGCAGGGTGTACTGGACGCCCGTCAACGACATCGCCGCCACGCTCGTCGACCTGGTCGTCTCGGACCGCGCGCCCCACCCGGTCTACCACATCGACAACCCCGTGGGCCAGCCGTGGGCCGAGGTCAACGCCGTCCTGGCCGACGCGCTGGGCGTGCCCCTGGTGCCGTTCGAGGAGTGGCTCGCGCGCGTCCGGTCCGCGCCGCAGCGCGACAACCCCGCCGCCATGCTGTCCGACTTCCTCGATACCAACTACCTCCGCATGTCCGGCGGGGGGCTGATCCTGGACGTCAAGAAGACCCTCGAGCACTCCAAGACCCTCGCCGCCGTCGGGCCCGTCTCCGAGACCGTGGTGCGCAAGTATATCCACATCTGGAGGGAGACCGGGTTCTTAAAGTCGACGCCCGAGGAGAAGGCTCGGATGATCGCGGAGAGGTCGACGCTCTGGCCCAAATGAGGCTAAGAATTGAAAAATATGATAAGGGGGTGTAGGATAATAGACTGGCTAGACTGTAGGATAGGATAGGATAGGATAGGATAGAGCAGCGTTTGCCTGTCTGAGTCGGCGGTCCGGTCCAGGTGGGGTGTGAAGGCGTTTCTTGCATTTATTCATGAAGGGATTAACGACGCATAAAAGACGACGTAGACAGATAGACAGCATGACACTCATTTGAAGCATTTGATCCTCCTTTACTGCGAATTTAAATTTAGACGCAGATAGCAGAAGAATTGGCATATATCCAATCATTGCCAGCAAAGCAGTCTGTGTAAATAAGTATGTCATCAGGTTCGATGTTGATCCTTACAGGGAGGGGTCTTCGACTTCAATTTACGGAGCAACGGAGCACGGAGTTCTCGACCCCCTCAGCCCCTTTCCAGACGTTTATGTGGGTCTAGACTATCACTTATGCTGGGTTATTGCACCATAATAGGGGCTGTATAGTTATAGTCGAATCGTGCAATGCCTTCAAGTAATAACTTATCATCTAGGTAGAGTAGGAGAGTAAGAAAGCACCATCATAATCTCAGAAACAGGTACAACAAACAAGTGATGACGTGGCCCTGTGTGAACTGCGAACCAAGCAAGGGTGACACTATTTGCGTGAGTCCATCTCTCGATGGCTTGGCCACGCCAGAAGAGGCTCACCACGTTGTCATGCGTCTATATTGAACAGTTCATCCTATTTCTCCACGAACAACAACCTCAAGAAAGCCTTTCCAGCCCAGCAGAAAAAACAAAAGGGCATGTCTGACTAAGTACCTCTAGGCCTCGGGAATCTTTCACCCGAGACGGCGGTCACGATATATGCGGCCGGCATCGGCTGCGGTGTTCTGACGGACGATCTATGGCGGCAACGGACCTCCGCCTTTCTACTCCCATATGGAATAGGAACAATCATAAACAATAAAATTCCACGATCGGATCAGAGTTTCCAACCCTGGTCAACCTCTTCTCCCTTTTCGACTCTATAATAATTTTTACCATTTAGTTACCCAAACAACCCCCAAACTTACATCTCTCTTCCAACCCTCCCTCATAAAACCTAACTACCCACAACCCCCCCCCCCCCCCCCCCCCCCCCCCCGTCCCCCCAAAAATGTTGACCAGCCCGGACAACACCACACTAGAATACCGCTACGACTCCGAGACCCTCCGCATCGAAGCATGGGGCCCCAACGCCCTGCGCGTCCGCGCCACCCACCTCCCCGCCTTCCCCGCCGAGCCCTGGGCCCTGACGGAGCCCCTGCCCCCCATGCCGGACGTGGCCATCTCCATCGCCGGGTCCGGGGCCCGGATCCGTAACGGCGTGATCCAGGCCGACGTGAGCGCGGCCGGCGGCAAGCTCGTCATCCGCCATGCCAGGACGGGCAAGATACTGCTTGAGGAGTATGGTGCGTATTCTAGAAACCCGGGTATCCTTCCTTCCTATCCGATAAACAGCCAAATTCCCCCCCTCCCTTCTTTTTTTTTTTTCTTTTTCGAATGTCTGTCCATCCGTCTAGACTAGCCAGCCAGTCCAGTCTTAAGACCAAAAAGAAAAAAAATAAAGAAGAACGCTCACGTTTCTTTTCCTCCTTCTCCACCCACTGCAGTGCGTCAGCGCAAGGACGTCCTGGACCCCAAGGCCAGCGCGCTGCGCATCGGCGCGCGGTCGTTCGTGCCGCGGCCGGGCAGCGCGAGCTGGCACCTGACGGCGCGGTTCGAGGCGGCGGAGCCCGATGACGACGACGACGACGGAGAGGAAGAGAAGATCTACGGCATGGGCCAGTACCAGCAGCGGCGGTAAGCATAGAAAGAAACCTAAAGATGAAAAAAAAAATTTATTTTTTTTCCTTCGCGGTATTCTACCTAGCATTACAGTACTAACTACTCAATTTTTTTATCTAGTACGTGACTTGACTCTCTCTCTCTCCCTTCCTCTCCCTCCTTTTCTCCCTCCCGCGACTCCTTGAAAAATAAATTCAGTTGAATGAAATACTCTACCTACCTAAGTACCTATCTAGGAATAAGCTTCACTGACTTGAGACTAATTAACCTAACTTTGCTTTTTTTTTTCCTTTTTTTTTCTTCTCAATCTTTGATTTAACTCCGCGCAGACCTGAATCTCAAGGGCCTGGACCTAGAACTGGCGCAGCGCAACTCGCAGGCCAGCGTGCCGTTCGCCGTGTCGTCGCGGGGCTACGGCCTGCTGTGGAACAACCCGGCCGTGGGGCGCGCCGTGTTCGGGCGCAACCTGACCACGTTCGAGGCCTACTCGACCGACGTACTGGACTACTGGGTCGTGGCGGCGGCGGGTGGTGGTGGTAATGATCCCGACAACGACGACGACGACGATGACGACAAGAAGGGTGGCATCCGCGGAGGGCCCGCCGAGATCCTGAGGGCGTACGCGAGCGTCGTCGGGACCGCGCCGCCCATGCCCGAGTACGGCCTCGGCTTCTGGCAGTGCAAGCTCAGGTACCAGACCCAGGATGAGGTCCTGGCCGTGGCGCGGGAGCACAAGGTCCGGAGGGGCCTGCCGATGGATGTTATCGTCGTGGATTTCTTCCACTGGCCCAAGGAGGGGGAGTGGAAGTTCGATCCTACGTTTTGGCCGGATCCTGGTGGGTTTTCTCTCTCTCTCTCTCTCTCTCTATCTATCTATCCCCTTTCTCTCTCATTTCTCTCTATCAGACGTGTGAGTGTGTGCGTAGGGCGGTGTATGAGAGTTGGTCCTTTTGCTGTGTTGTGATTCAGGAGACACTTATCCAACTAAGTTCTGCAACGAAGCCGTACCAGACTAACAGGCGGTTAACCAAAACCCCCCCAAAAAAACCAGACGCCATGATAGCCGAGCTCAAGTCCCTCGGCATAGAACTCATGGTCTCGATCTGGCCGACGGTGGACCGGCGATCGGAGAACTACGAGGAGATGGTGGAGAGGGGCCTGCTGATCCGGCAAGACCGCGGCTGGACCATCGCCATGGAGGGGCCCGGCGACGCCGTGCACTACGACGCGACGAACCCGGCGGCCCGGCGGTACGTGTGGGAGAAGGCCCGGGCGCACTACCACGACAAGGGCGTGCGCCTCTTCTGGCTGGACGAGGCCGAGCCCGAGTACACGCACTACGACTTCGACAACTACCGGTACCACCTGGGGCCCGACCTCATGGTCGGCAACGTATACCCCCTGCAGTACGCGCGCGGGTTCTACGAGGGGATGAGGGAGGCCGGCCAGGAGCAGGTGGTCAACCTCGTGCGGTGCTGCTGGGCTGGGAGTCAGAAGTACGGCGCTTTGGTACGTTGCCGCTTTCCCGACGAATTTGCATGCGGGTGGATGGATGGATGATCGATTTCCAGTCCCAACCCAACCCCCCGCACCCCTGCTCTTTTTTCCGGCGAACCCTTAATAAAAAATAAAGAAACTAACCTACTCTACTCCCTCTCTCCCTACTACCCAGCTCTGGTCCGGCGACATCGCCAGCTCCTGGACCAGCCTCCGCAACCAGCTCTCGGCGGGCCTGAACGCGGGGCTGGCGGGGATCCCGTGGTGGACGACGGACATCGGGGGGTTCCACGGCGGGGACCCGGGGGACCCGGCGTTCCGGGAGCTGTTCGCGCGCTGGTTCCAGTGGGGCGCCTTCTGCCCCGTGTTCCGGCTGCACGGGGACCGGGAGCCGCGGCAGCCGCGGCACGGCACGACGGGCGGCAGCTGGCAGCGGTCCGGGGCCGCCAACGAGGTCTGGTCGTACGGCGACGAGGTCTACGGGATCTGCCGGGCGTACCTGGGGCTGCGCGAGGCGCTGCGCCCCTACGTGCGCGCCGTCATGCGCGACGCGCACGCCCGCGGCGACCCCGTCATCCGGCCCCTGTTCTACGACTTCCCGCGCCAGGCGGCCCTGTGGTCCGTCGACGACCAGTACATGTTCGGCCCCCGGTACCTGGTGGCGCCGGTGCTGGGGCCCGGGCGGACGGAGAGGAGCGTGGTGCTGCCCGAGGGCGCGCGGTGGCGGCAGTTCTCGGCGCTGGGCGAGGCTCAGGGGGACGTCGTCGAGGGGGGGCGCAGCATCACCGTACAAGCTCCCTTGGGGTACATGCCGGTGTTCGAAAGGCAATGAAATGAGATCGATCATTATGAACCATGCACGAGTTGGTTTATTGATCAGCCAGTGTTCATCCTCCCCTCCAGCAGCCGTGGAAAACTTTTACGTGTGTCGACTCTGACAGTGGGGAAAAAAAGAAGAATCAAAACTCCAGGGCACTTTCAACTCCTTCCATTCCAAGGGGCAAAAGGTTGAAAGGAAACAATCCCATTGATCCCGGCAGGGCTCGAACCTGCAATCTCCTGATTTACTCCCTTGATACACACAACGTACGTACGTGATCGTAGTCAGACGCGATTCCATTTCGCCACGAGACCCTATCTATTTGTTGCAAAGACTCGCTGCTTTTCTTTCCTAAGTATGTAGCGGATTCATGGATGAGAGCCGCGATGTGGGTTTGAGCGTGAAGAGTTTTTTTCCTCACCTATGACCTATGGTCGGTAGTCGTGATGGGACCACTAACGTAATAAGTACGAAGTATCCAGCTGGAGACTTGCTGGAGCGCTTTCTCGGAGTTCCGAGCTAAGTAGGTAGGGAGCCGGTGAGGACCGAGATCTTACCTGCTTCCTAGGTTAGGTTAGTACCTAGGTAGGTATCGTAACTCAGTGACGTAAATATACACACGTAATTAACGACTAGAAGCAGTGAAGAAGACATCACCTATACTAGTTACTTAATCAATAGCACCACACGACGTCCGTCCGACGGCGCCGTAATAATAATGATTGCATGCATTTCACGCCGGCCGGCGCGTATCCGTGGGGCATAGACGAAGCAGCCACGCGGCCTGGGTAGGCGATGCAATGCGATGCGCTAAAGAATGGCCCTACGGTCCACCGCCTGTCATCCATGAATCCGTTTCTCTACGAAGTACTAGTATTAAACTCAGCTGAGCCCTGTCCCTACTTACCTAAGTCTACCTAACCGCACAGTGCCAAACGATGTAACGTTTCTTCACATTCGTCAGCTCGGGTACAGCCGACCAAATACTTTTACCCCTTGTCTTTTATATATTCTCGGCTCCGAGAGTAAAAAACGACCGAAAATCCTGGCTGATTCTTCACGTTCTTTTTATGTACTTCGTACCGTATTTCGAAATAGTCACATAACTATCTATGAAACGATTCGGCGAGCGTGAGAGATCCATGTGGCTTGCATATATACGTTATGGGAATCCCCCGTATCAAGTATAGTAAAAAGATGCGCCACATCATCCTACGAAATCCCGCCGGTATTGCTTGCTGCTGCGATGAGATAAAATGTTGACAGGACAAAAGCTGTGGGCCTGATAGCGTAGAAGAAGACTGTCAAAAAAGAACCCGGCTGCCCCCTATATTAAACCACGGTGTCTCCAGTATGAAATCCTCCCTTGGGAATACCACATTATTTTAACCAAGCCACATCTGATTTCCTTGTGAATCCGTTTTCAAGTATCATTAAGCTTTTTGTTACCTCAGTGTATCGTTAGCTGGCGGCGTGCTGTAATATGTTTGACTGTATTAGTCGGTTGCGTTGCCTGGAAGCTCTGGGGGCATAATCCTGGTAGTAGGTAGTTCAGCGCGAGAGTGTGGTTCTAGATATCGCTGGTGTTGTTGGAACTGATGCTGGTTATACATCGCATAGTCTGACGTCTCACCGGGAATGTGCCGGCTGGGACTGTTTCCGGAGGATACAGCCATTCCCGGCGTACCAGGGGTTTTCGATGGATCGTGGTACCCGTAGTGTGCCACGTTAGAAGGGTTGTCCGCCGTGCTGGTAGTAGCTTCGACTTCAGACTGCGGTCTTCGACGACGACGCATGAAGAAGAATAGTATTGCTCCAATTATGGCCAGTCCGGCTAACCCAGCGCCGACACCAATGCCAGCTTGTGCCCCGGTGGAAAGCGCAGATGATCCAGATGACGGTGACGGCGTTGCAACACTTGATGAAGGGGTCGTAGGAGCGTTCGTCGGACTAACACCAACTTGGCTGCCCACCTCTTCCGCTGACAACGCTGTCCAAGAGCCAGACCACGACTCTTTCCAACCATTGCTACTAGACTTGATCGTAGTGTCCCCGTCGGCAATCTCGACAACCGAAGGAGAAGGGATATTGGGGCCCGGCGCCTGGGCGAGCCACCAAGTCTTTGCGCCCCAATTCGCACCTACAAATGCGTCCTGTAGGAATGCACGACCAAGCGTGTACCGATCTGTACCAGTGTAGCAAGGGAAATAGGGTTGTGGGTTCTCCACTAAAGGGGCGTTGAGTGTGAGATTTAGATGTCGGAAAGGAACAGAGATATTGATGTTCTGCTTGTTGGAGCTCCCTAAAAATGTAAAGCCGAGAGCGGAGGCTGAGCTAACAATTTGGGAGTATTTGGGATCGGTCACATCCCACAGATATAAACCGAGACCCTCATTATACGTCACCGGTAGGTGAGATGTGATGGCATCGCAGGTCGACTTGGGTAAGGACAGATACGGCGAACAACCATCCACGGATATCTGGACACCACTTGGCCCGATGGACGAGTTCCCGGTGGCGAGGAGACCGCCAAGCGAGGCGCCAAACTCCCACGGCGATGCACCGTCAATAACGTCGATACTGATGTCTTTCAGCGTGACCTTGTCTGTGTAATCATCTTGGAAGTTGAGAATGTCCCCCACGATACGATTAGAATCGTAGCCTCCGAAATACAACGAACCGCCCATGGGAGGGTTTGCCGAGCCGATGTGCAGACTGGACGAATTTGAAGCGATCTCATTCTGCCACCATAACCAACCCGGGACCAGGCTGGCATTGATAGGCGGCCCGGAGTTTGTAGTGAAGGACTGGTTCACAGCGTCGGGAGCCCCTATGCCTAAGCACCCAACGGACATCGGGTACCAATCACCACCGGGATATGCCATATATGCATTGCTCACGAGCTCCAACGAAACGTTAGGCACTATAACATCGCCGATGCCGATCGAGTCGACCCATGAGACCAGATTCGCACCTTTCACGGTCACCCCACCTGTCGTAACTAAGGTCAGTAATCAAGCTAATCCAAGGTGACTGGACATCCAAGAACGATATGAGAGCACGAGGGATACTGAAGCGGGAACTGCTCACTCATATAGTCAGGACCTGGACTGAACTGGATGAGGCCATTTGAACCGGTATCATCTAATTGAGACTGGGCATCATTGTAAGTGCCGGCTTGGGTTGCAGCACATGCTTGTGTCTGGTTATGATTGCAGTAATCGGTTGTAAGCAAATAGGTTCCCCATTCTCGCCCAGGATGTAATGATATCTTCTGATTGTAGCCAACTGTCACCTCGACTGCATTCCACGGGCCATCGGGGCCGTAGGTTGAGTCGGACCAAGGCACTGCGACTGGACTGGTAGCGGCCTCTACCGGTGTGAATACGCCGAGATAGGAAACGAGCGTTAGCGGGAAGATCAGGGACAGGAACGCCATGATCGTTGGTCGGAATTCATGCAGCACACGGCATCGCAAAGAGATACAGAAAGACGACAGACTTGGGCCGGCACGAAGATTGAGGAAGAGAAAGAAGAGAATTTGCGAGCCTGCCGTTACGTCTTCTTGTCGCACACAGGTTAAGGGGGACAAACGAATCCCCTGATATCGAGCCGCATCACTCAAGTGGCAGGCAGGCAAGCCAGTTGGATGCGCCAAGGGACGGATCACAACATGTACATCTTCCAACCTGCAGACCGGAGATAGCCCCTGAGACACATTCGTGCGTAGGACTTCGGATCGTAGGCCTGAGGCAATTTGCCCTGCTGTCGAGCCTGCTGTCGAGCCTGCTGTCGACGCACTCCTTATTGGCTCATGGTTGAGGACGGGGATCGGGGTATTTCAAGGTTATCTTCCTTGACTATGGTGGTAACCCTTGATGTAGCTGGCTGCAGTGATACCATCGGAATAGCATCAAGCGCGCGGCATCAAGGGGTGAATATGTGACGCGACTGGCTGGTCAGGTCAGGCTTATCTTAGCGCTTAGACCTATTATAGGGTTGCGTGTCTCAGAACTGCCAACTGCAGAATGCGGCAGACTTGGCGGCAGGGCATATTTGCTTATTATGCCAGTGGAAAATGCTCAGAGATTTACTGTGTATATCCCAGCAGGTCTAGCAATTATGCACCCAACTGGGCAGCCCACGTACTCCGGATCTAGACTCATTTAGGTAACTAGCTTTATCTCGCTATGTACCTGGATAGGTCCGTAACCTGGAAGTATGGATGTGACATACGAATAGAGTAAGTTCACTAATAATAAAATACACCCGGTATGCGTATCTGCTGCACCGTTCAGCCCATTCAGCCGTTCCTCAACTGATAGAGAGAAACGGGAAACGTGCGTAATCAGCCTATTTATTCACTCTACTGTGTACCTAGGTACTCTGTACTACGTACTACCTGTGTTGAGTGCCTAGGTACCTAGGTACTTACCTACCTACCTACCTACCTAGGTAGGTAGGTATATAGTAACTTAGGTATGAGTTGCATTCTGTGACCAACACGTTCTCACCTCCCCTTTCTCATCCTTCATCCCTCATCTCCTCCATGTCATCCCTATGCTCCTGACCGTGACACACCTCACAGGCAAGTCATTTGCCTTGGGCTGACGGCGTTCTCCCTCCTCACCGCAAACCGTCTTTCCACATAAATTTTGTACCCTCTTCATGGATATTATCGCGAACCAGCTTGAGAGTTGCCTGCACGATTGAGTTGATGTCCTTGATCTTGCTTGGAGCCCCCCGCGGCCGCACTGCCTATGTCGAGCTCGTAAGTCTCAGGCTCAGCCCAGCAACTATCCTACCTACCTAGGTCACAAAAACATCTAAACCCGCGAGAATGCCTCCTCTTTGGGGTTCTTCGTGGTCCTCAACCTGGGGCTCCTTGGCAGGATATGGCCCCGTACGGAATGGCGATCCGAGTTCCACTCCCGCTGCCGCCGCCGCCGATTCTACACATCTCAAGCCGAGCATAGGACAGATCCTCACGTCCAAAAGACCACGCTACATCGCTGTCGCTCTCTTGTCCCTAGCCTTATTTTCCCTCGCTTTCCGAAACTACGACCGCATACCTACCCTAGAGAGCTTGCGCGGCCTGACCGCCCCCGCCGGTTCCCATTCCGGCTGTCCCGCCGCCGTCGTACCCATCTATACCGATGGCAAGGTCGATTGGTCTCAATATGCTTACACCCAATATGTCACCAACGCTGCCTATCTGTGCAACTCGGTCATGATTTTTGAGACCCTGCACCGTCTGAAGAGTAAGGCCGACCGTGTTATGATGTATCCCGAGAGTATGATGGACCCGGCCGAG